CTCCCCACCCCCCCTGGAAATAGAGTATGAAGGTTTGTGCTGAGAGGAAAGGGGCGGAGTGAGGAAGAGGGACGGGACCCAGTGGGGGTGACAGCAGAGTGAAAAACAAGCTCCCTACACAGTTATACTGCACCACAGATACACTCCACCTGCTGTACCTTGCTGCCAGGGGCCAAACCCCATGCTAATAATCCAGAGTACTGCCTTTAGATTATTTATGTTTATTTTTTTAAATGTTTAAAAAATGTTTATTTTTGGGGCGCCTGGGTGGCTTAGTCGGTTAAGCGTCCGACTTTCGCTTAGGTCATGATCTCGCGGTTCGTGGGTTCGGGCCCCGCGTCGGGCTCTGTGCTGACTGCCAGCTCAGAGCCTGGAGCCTGTTTGAGTCTGTGACTCCCTCTCTGTCTGACCCTCCCCTGCTCACGCTGTCTCTCTCTCTCTCTCCTAGAAATAAATAAAACATTTAAAAAAAAATGTTTATTTTTGAGAGAGATAAAGTCTGAATGAGGGAGGGGCAGAGAGAGGGAGGGAGACACAGAATCTGAAGCAGGCTCCAGGCTCCGAGCTGTCAGCACAGAGCCCGACGCGGGGCTTGACCCACGAACCGTGAGATCATGACCTGAGCCGAAGTTGGACACTTAACCGACTGAGCCACCCAGGCGCCTCCCCCGCCCTTTCATTTATTTATTTTTTAAAATGTTTACTTATTTCTGAGAGAAAGAGAAGCGAGCCTTTAGACCCTGGGGCTGAATAAACAATACAGGAAAGGAAGTGAAAATAAATGTACATAAATAGAATCAAAACAGTCCTCACTCCCCTGAAAACGTCCCTACCTCGCTTCTACAACCCTGTTCCCTATTACCCTTTAATGATTTTTTTCACAAGACCCTAAAGTTCCAGGTTTTCTCATTAGCAGCTCATGATTACTGTGAAAATGACTCAGGCTTATGAGCTCCACAAAGCAAAAATCTCTCAGTAAACAAGTGACATGTCAAAGCATTTCAGCAACATTTTTCAGGAATGTGCTTTAGGCATACCATTTTAAATGATGAAAGAAGAAATGCATTTTCAAATTTAGAATTATGGACACCTCCATGTTGGAAGCTATAGTAAAGGTGATTACTCAACGTTCTCACCCAGTACAGAAATTATCTCTAGATAATAGTAATACTTAGTCACTAACCTTCATTTGGCCACTTTCATTAATGGAACATTAATAGTTTACAAAGCAGCCTATGGCATCCTGGGTATCAATAATTAGTGTTCACTTTACTTTTTGTGTTAGTCTTACATTGATTCATTTTTTTAAAAAATATTTTTTATTTCTAGGAGAGAGAGAGAGAGACAGCATGAGCAGGGGAGGGTCAGAGAGAGAGGGAGATACAGACTCTGAAATAGGCTCCAGGCTCTGAGCTGGCAGTCAGCACAGAGCCCGATGCGGGGCTCGAACCCACAAACCGCGAGATCATGACCTAAGCTTAAGTCGGACGCTTAACCGACTAAGCCACCCAGGCACCCCATTCTTACATTCATTCTTCCACCTTTCAACAACTCTCTGAAGCCCTACCTAGTTCCCTAGGCCTTGAAAATACCTTTCCCTTATCTACTGATTGCCTTTCAAACGTGAAGACAATTTTTTCCATTCTCTTCTCTTCTCCAGGGTAAACAAACGTCTCTATTTTCTCAACATGGTTTTTTGTGTCTCAAGATAACCCCTAAACATTAGCAACCAGAATGGAAAACAACACTGTTTACATGACCTTCATGGTAAATGGGGAAAGGGAGATTACGAACACTCAGCAACATGTCCATTGTGTGTCCACTGAGATGCAGCATGCCTGCAAGCTCTATCTTCTTATCCTCACAATTTATTGTGGAGAAAACAGAACCAGACAGACACGATAATTCGCAAAGGTCCTAAACGGCAGAGCCACCATTTATGATTAGAGAAAAATATCTTTCCCTCAATCTGGGGATGATTCTATACTTTGTTTCCATAAATGGAACATTACATCCTACCATTCCCTCCCTGCTTTCCCCAAGTCTGCTCTTCCTTATCTCAGATAGGCATAATGAGTTTAAATAGATTTAACCTGGCAAATTTATATCTTGTTAATTTTGGCCTCTTGCTCCAAACTTTAAGAATTCTTTATAGCTACAGGTTTTGATCATGTTTATTAATTTGAGGAGTATGCCTCATATACTTAAAGTCAGTAATAAAAAAAATGCAAACCGGAGTAAGGGCAAGGCCAGAGCCCCACAGCTCATGTCTAAAGACCTCTCTTCAGGCCGACATCAACTCATGAATCATTCTGGGTTCGGTAATTCGAAGGGATATAAATCCATGCAAGCAGACCTTATCCAGCGTAAACACATCTCTTGTGGCTACCAGGACAGGAAGAGAGATTACGTTCCGTGGCCCAAGGAAACCCAAACGGACCCACGTCTAGCAATCCCTCCCTCACCACCAAGCTAACAAACTTTGTGGGAAAGTAATGAGATGTATGTCACCTGGCTGGCTTTTTTTTAGTTGACACTCTGCAAATTTGAGGGAATGAGCTCTCCTTTCCCAAGTACTCACAAACTTTCTGCTCTCCCAACAAGCCTCTAAAACACGGGGCTCCAGAGGGGCTCAGCTGGTTAAGCATCCAACTTTGGCTCAGGTCATGATCTCACAGTTTGTAAATCGGAGCCCAGAGCCTGCAGCCTGCTTCAGATTCTGTCTCTCCCTCTCTCTGCCCCTCCCCCGTTAGCAGTCTGTATCTGTCTCTCAAAAACGAATAAAACTGAATGCAAAAACTGAGATATTTCCAGTTAATATCTGAGATACAAAAACTGAGATACTTCCATCGTTAACTGTGCTTTCAGATTCCTCAAAAGCTCTGAACAGTGATTTTGCAATTTTATCTACAAGCACTCCAGTGTATCATTTATCTGACCCTAAAAATATGAACTGGATTTAATCCAGTTTGAAATTCTTTACGATCGCCACAGCCTTGAACTTCCTTCTGATTTTGTTTGTCCTTAACCAATTTTTAGAGAAAGCAAACAAAACATTTTTCTTCCTCAGGGACTCACTGCTTTCAAACAGAATCTCCTGAGGTAAAGTAGCTCATTTAGTAGGCCCAAACTCTGACCAGTTTTTTTCTTTGGGACATTCAGTTTCAGAAGTGGCATTTAACACGTAAGGACCTCATTAGTAACTAGAATGCTTCTTTACTGCTTGTTGGTGCAAACTACATTTTCAAAACGAAACGAATGTTGTTTTATGCAAGAATCGACAAATAAGTTTGAGTTATGCGCTACAATATAATCAAGATGAGACAAAAGAAGAAAAAAAACCCCGAAAAACAGACACCAAGAGCGGTCACTCTGAAGGAAATAAAATAATCCTGAACTCTTAATATTCACTTAACAGGCAAGCAACCTAGGGACGCTAACGCTCTTAACCAAAATGTCTACCAATACCACCACCACGAGTACCATCATCCACCCACCCTTCATTCAACAATCTAGACAGCTTCCTAGGTGCTGAGGACACAAAGCTCCTCATGGAGCTTTCATTCTAGCAACACCATTCAAACAAATCTTTACTGAGCGCCTACCATTGAAAGGCACCCTGCTAGATACCCCTCAAGAGCGATGTAGAGCGAGATACATAATCATTATTAGATTTACTCTACAAACGCAAAAGATCACCCTCAAGTAATTGCTCTCCGACGTCGCACCCCACGTCAGATGATTTAGCGAAAGCTCGGGGGCTGGTAACAGTCTACTTTCAGATAACCTCAGACTTACGCCTCAACTTTCTAAAGGACGCCTGCTGTAATAACAAACCAAACAGCTCAGCAGTGGACCGGCAAAGACCACGTCTCGGCAGGAACGAACCTAATCGCGGAAGTGCCTTTTCCTTATTCCCAGTCCCCCCTTACACGGCTCTTCAGACTCCAAAGTCGCAGTACCCCAGACGTAGAATAAGGCTCGGGCCTAAGCTCGCTAGGGGCCGGCACACTGCGAAATCTAGGTAGTCCGCGGCTGTGCGGCTCAGAGGGTGCGCGCGCGCTGAAGCGCCCGTCCTCCCCCCACCGCGACCCTTCTCCCCAGCTGCTAGGAAGTCCCCGAATCCCAGCCGCCCCTCACTTCGAGGGCTGCTGCCTGTTTTCGGGTCCGCGCCGGCCTCCCTGCCCCGCTCCTGTGCCTCAGACACTCCTCGAAGCGCGACCCGCAGCCCCGTCGTCGCCCGCTAACTTCGGTATGTACCAGGGATAGCGAAGCGAGGCGGAATCCGGAAAAAGAGATTCCGCCAGTGGGTGGAGGCAAGTGGCCATACTCTACTCCGACCTCCAGGTAAGTGGAGGCGAGCGGCGGTCGGTTGGTCACTCACCCCTCGCCTCAGGCAAGCCCCTTAGCGACGTCTCTCCTCGCCGACCGCAGCCATCTTGGACGTGGAATGTCGGGGAAGCTACGTCATCTCACTGCGTCCGCGACGAAAAACAAGCGACCGCGCGCGGCCCCGCCCAGCCACCCTTAACCGCACGGTTCGGCCTCGTCTCCAGTCATGGGGCCTGCGGGCCCAAACGGTCTCGGCCCCCGCCAGCTTCGGCGCCACAATTGGCTGGGCTGCGCCCATGCCAGGCGCTGATTGGACAACGGGCGACTCCGGCCCCGCCTCCCGCGTCCAAGTTCCGTTAGCATGTTCGGTTGCTCCCGAATTCCCTCTCGCTTCTGGAGGGGGCGGGACTGCCGAAATAGAACCCCTGCCCCCCAGGGTGGCACCTCCTGCTGTCCGCAGAGACCGCTGACCCGCGGGGAGGGGCCGGGGAGAGATTGGCGACACTTTCGTCTTGGGAGAGCTCTACTTTCTTCTGATTGGCTGACGGGCGCCCCCCATGCGTCGGAGCCGCGGACCAATGGGCGGCGGCGGCCGTCCGGGGGCGGGGCCCGGGGGCGGGCGGAGCGGGGTTGGGCCGCGGCGGCGGGGCCGTCTCAGGCCGCCGTCCCGCCCCTCCCGTCCGGCCTCCGCCGCCGCCGCCGCCGCCGCCTGGGGCTTGGTTGAGGCGGACGGTGGGTCCGGGCCCGAGTGTGGCGCCGCCGCCGCTGCGCAAAGGGGTAAGCGGGCAGGTGAGTGTGGCGGGCGGCGGTTCCCCCGGCGCGCGCGGCCCGCGGGCAGACTCGCGCCGCTGTCCCCAAGCGCCGTGAGGCCGCCCCCCGCCCCGACCGGCGCCCCTCGGCCGAGATCCTGCGCGCGCCGCCGGCCGGGGCCCGAGGTGCGGGTGGCGGCGTGCGCCCCTGGGGCCGGGCGCGGGGGCCCGGCGTGTCCGGGGGCGCCGCTCGGCCTCTGCCTCCCCTTCCCCGGCCCGCAGCTCCCCGGGGGCGGCCGGCGGGCCCGGAGGCGGCGGCAGGTGCAGGGAGCGCCGGCCGCTGGGCGCCCGCCGGGTGGGGCCCGGGCAGCTCCGACTCGCGCTGGGCGGCTGGGCTGTGCGTGCGGCCGGCCCGCGCTCCCTTCCTTCCTTCCTTCCCTCCCTCCCTTTCTCCCGCCGCCGCCCGGCGCCCGGGTGAAGGCTGTGTGGCCTCTGTGTTCCGCTCTCCAAACGTCAGGTGCTCCCGGGGACCAGCCCCTGCTTCCCTCTCTCACTTTCCAGTTATAAAAACAGGCGTTGAAAATAGGTCATCTCTCTGCCTACGCGCCCTGGCCGTGGTCCACACGCTCGGCGCCCTACTAGGGAGAAGAATTCGGTGCTTTGGAGTTTGTCATTCCGGCCCTTAAACTCTTCCTCCTCTCGGCTCCGCGACTCCGCCTTTGCCTCGCTTGTGCTCGGGGCCCGGGAGCCACCGGGTAGCGGCCTCGCTCCCGCCGCGTAGCCGCACGTGCAGGATCGCCTGCAGGGTGTTGCTTGGCGATCCCAAATGAGGGTCGCGTTGTTTCAAAAGCAAAAGTGCTTTTAAAGTCTGTCGACGGGTGACTTTTGCTTTCAAGACCTTACGAGGAGCTCATCGTTGAGCGATGAACCTGCTCCTAGCTTGATTGTGGGTGTTGATTACACAGCTGTATGCGATTGTCACAACTCGCAGAACGGGACCCTGAAAAGTGAATTTTATCGTGTCTAAACGATACGTCTCCGTCCCCTGTTTTTCTTCTCAGTTGACCCCACTGGTATTTCAAAATTGAAATGGCCAGTAATAATCCTGGAGAGGTTTTTCTTGCCATTTTAAGTGAATGCATGTAACTCAAGAATATAGCAAAATAAAAGCAGCTTTCCACGGTTAAAGTTGGGCAAGACTTGCTTGAACCATGATATATCGTGTCTACGCAGGCTACTGTGTGTGCAGTCCCGCCTTTGACCAAATTAGTCCCAGGGGCTGCTGTGATTGATATTCTGGTCAGGTTCCAACAGTTTAAGGAGGAGGAGTTTTTTTCTCTGGCCCCAGAAAGTAGTTGCAAAGCCAAGTTCTCAAATACAGAACAACCTCTTTATTGGGATTCCAAACCTCAGTTTTTAGCCTTCGGCTGCCCCTTTCTGCCTGCCCTCCTTTCAGCCTATTCAAAATTGTAAGCTGACGTCCGAAATGCTCCTCTATCCTGAGAGGGTAATTGCTGCTTCCCATCTCTTCCTCAGTTTGCTAACCTCTCTTGGTGCCTTTGTTCCTGGCAGTGATGTCGGACTTGAAGACTGAAACATTTCCCCAGGTGGAAATGGAAGTTTCTGTTCAGTTCTGTCAGTAAGAGTGCATGCAGTGAGATTGTCAATAAGAAAGTAACGCCTGTTGACCTTCTCTTCCACGTGACGAGCATTTAGGCCACGTGTTAAATGGTTCCAGCTTTGCTTTAAGAAGAGCTTCTGGAAAGTGTAAAGGTGGCACTCATGTTTCCATTCTCAAGTTCAACCGCTGTTAAACTGGTTTCGTTAGGAGCGCTCACAGCAGCCTCCCTAAAACTTGATGCTTTCGTATCTAGAAAAGCCTGACAGATGACAGCTGGAGGAATTGTCGCCATCAGCACAACAGAGGCCTGCCGGGAGTGGAAGTATTCAGTAGGCAGTTACTGAGTTCAGTAAAGCCAGGTACACAGTTTCTGGCATGTGGGATGTTAGCAGACCTGGGACTAGAAATCTTACCTACAAGCTGAGTTACTCTGTGTTCCCTTTTTTTTTTTAAAAACTAGATGTCGGTTCACTTTGAGGCTTTCCAGTTTCTTAAATGTTTGAATTACATAGTCTCCTTTTTTCTTATCTCAAATCTGAAGTAGCTTTTAGAAACATGGCTAATAATATATCTTTTTTCATGTGTAGTTTGATGACTATCTTTCTTTGGGAGGTTTTTTTTTTTCCTTTAGAAACTGGTTTGCTTTGCTTCTGCCTGGTGCTTCTGCGGGGGGGGGGGGCGGTGGATGGGGAGAGTTTCAAGTACGTCTCCTCTCTTTGTACCTAAGTCCTGGGAATGGAGCCATGATCTTGTTCCCCCATTAGAGGGACAGGAGTCATTTACTACTGTGGCATGAAACTTTTTTTTTTTTTAACAGAACAGTGAATATCTTTATTCTTCTGTCACTCTGCAAGTTGCTTGCGGCCAGTTGTGTTCTCAAATCGCTAACCTTATATTTGGGCCCGTTTTATCATTGACGAATATTTTGATTTGCTGTGCATCCTTTTGCTATAGTCGTAGACGTGTTTATCTTGGATATCAGTTCATTCTGAGCCCTGTTTAACCAGTTAAGAGTAATAGACTAAGGATTCCTTGCCTTTACATCTTGCTAGTTTTCACTTCTCTTGCGTTTGCAGGTGTATCTTGACAATTGACTTTAGTACTTTGGATTTCCTGACATCATCCTATTTTCCTCTTTCATAAAATTGGAGATTTTCAATATTTTGATCTGGAAATACAATTAATGTGCATAATAGTCATTAAAGTAAAATAAATTTCTAAGAAAATATTCATGTATATTTTTTCTATTACAAAGGAGTTGAGACTTTTTTTTTTTAATGTTTTATTTATTTCTAGGAGAGAGAGACAGCGTGAGCAGGGGAGGGTCAGAGAGAGAGGGAGTCACAGACTGAAGCAGGCTCCAGGCTCTGAGATGACAGTCAGCTCAGAGTCCGACGCGGGGCTCGAACCCATGAACCGCGAGATCATGACCCAAGTGAAAGTCGGACGCTTAACTGACTAAGCCACCCAGGCGCCCCGGAGTTGAGACTTTTTGTAAAGTCACTTGATAATGTTATGTAAAGAAAGCTTAGTTAGCAGAATTGGGAAGATTAGAAGTCCTACTTTTGTTGTTAAATTCATCCAGTAATGCAAGCCAGAGATTAGCTGTGTGGACTCTATTTCCTCTAGATTTTAGAAAGAAACAGCTGTGAAGAGGTGCAAGCACAAGTATTCACAATTTGCAACTGAAATAAATTTGAATGGAAGAAAAATGATTCTAAATGATTATGAAAGTCAAATACCAAAGTTAAGACTTTGAAGCTATTTGTTTCTTATTCTAGTACTTTCTAAGTAGAAGTTAATTAATAATCAGGATAAGCCCAAACACACTTGACTGACAGTGGACGACAAGCCCAACCCTGAAGTTAAGCTTTCGAGAGGGATCTGAGTGATACTCATTACTAAGTCAAGTGAGATGGTAACCTGTTACTTGTCTTAGCTGCAGGGATGGGGATGTGGAGGGCGGGCAGGGAAGAGGAAGAGAGCAGGAAGATTATGCTTTCATTCTGTTTTGGAAGGACTAAAGCATTGTCCAGAGAATGGATTCAGGGGTCTAGATAGAACTCTTAAAAATATGCTCTGTTTTAGGCTCATTACCTGTCTATGCTCCTGAGTGTCACTTTACACATTTTTAGGACATAGTTCGTTAGGATTTAACAAGGTCTAAACAGCTCCATGGCCAAGTGACTTAAGACTGAGCTTTCAGTCTCAGTAGATAGGCCCGACTCTTCAATATCAATAATTTTCCAGTGAACACAGTTAAAAGAAATTGAGGATTAGTGTTGAAAAATACTCATTAAAGTTGCCTTTCCATACTCACTAACGATTAATAAAGTTTTCCATTTGTTGATTGTAAGGACTTAGCATTGCTATGCGTCACAGTCATCTAAATGGTTTCTGCAGTTCCTTGACACGGGTGTGGGCCCTGCACAGATCAAGGTGGGAAGTGTGGGCCTGGGCAGAAGTTTACGTGGAAGTCTCACAGTTAAGATGAGGCAACTCCCGCTTGTTTGGATGAAGGCTAGCAGGATGGCTCCGTAGTTTTAAAAGCCCAAAGAGGTCAAACCTTTACGTGACGTGTTTTTACTATAATAAGCAAATGGTGTTATTTGGAACTTCAGAGGCGGTGACCAACCTGCCAGGCCTTCGCAAGCGCGTGGGTTTTGGGGTGAATCCATGAAACACTCTCGAGCATCAATCAAGTGTGTTGGTGAGGCTGGGCCGCCAACCGAGTCTTCCTCTTGTGTGGAATTTATTACCCTCTTTCCATTTCAGCTTCCTCACCTGTCAGGTGGGTATAATTCTATCTTCGTCTATTGTGTAAAATGCCTCCCTCGGTTTATGGCATAGGCAGTGCCCAAATGATGCAGGTATGATGCAGACGGTCGTGTTGGGGACCGGCTGTAGCACTTTGTGTGTGGCAGGGAATGATGATTTCAGTGGCCTGGAGACAAATGGCGACAGCATGAAAACCGCATTTAGGTCCAGACACTCACTTGATACAGCACGTCTCTCTGGCGGAAAATCGGTTTGTGTAACAAAGGTTTCAGTTGATTATCGTTTTGTCCTGAAGGCTGTGGGACTGTGTGTCACTCATCTGTGCACTTCAGATGAGATACGCGAGAAATGTGCACTGAACAAGTGAATGCACTCCTTTGTTTACTTGAGTCTTAGAGAAGCCAGGGCAGTCTCGGGCGTATTCCTAAGATCCCTGCGATTTGAGTTCTGGGAAGACCGGTCCCACTGAACAGTGCCCTTCTCAGAGCTGCTTAGAAGGGGTTTCGTTGCCTTGGTGGGAAAAACTGCATGGCGGTATCACATGCCTCAGTGAGTTTTGTCCACTTTGGAGAAGGGGTATGGGAAGCCTGCACAACAGAAGACTTTGTGGGGGGGACAGAAAGCTGTCTTCAAAAATGTGA